GCGAGGTCTGTTTCCCCAGGGTAGGGTAGTCCAAAACTAGAGGGCATAGGTATAAGGTGAGAGGGGAAAGATTTAAAAAGCACCTCCGGGGTACATTTTTCATGCAGAGGGTGGGGAGTGTATGGAATGAGTTGCCAGAAGAAGAGGTGGAGGCAGGTACAATTACAACATTTAACGGGCATCTGCATGGGTACATGAATAGGAAGGTTTCAGAGGAAAATGGGCCAAATACTGACAAATGGGACTAGACAAGTTTCAAATATCTGGTTGACATGAATGAATTGGACTGAAGGGTCTATTTCTGTGCTGTATATCTCTATGACTCTTTGTGTTATGTATCTGAGTCAGGATATCAGTATGCCTTTAAGATACATCCTCATGCTATCATCACTGCATTAGCATTTGATCTAAGGCTTCATGAGGTTAAGGCATCATATTGCATCTTACCTGGAATCACTTGAAGCAGGATACTCTACTGGAAGCATACTGTTCTCTGTTTTAGCCTAACAGTTTAATATTAACCCAGACACGTATGTGCCTGAGGAATGTAATGTTTTTTCAGAACAGTTAGCAGTAATAAGTGTCTGTTGGATTCTTTAATGCCATATTATTCATTCCCAGTTTCTTATATTACAAGTGACAATTTAAACATTGCCACATCAGGTGGAAGCAAACTCACAGCACCTGGTTATTTTTAACTAAGCATTTTTTTGCTTTGTGACTAACTTGTATCTCTTCGCTTTGGTGTATCAGCTGGAGCAGGAACTTACCTTAGGAAAACTGCAAGAGTGGACACATCCAAACTGTATGAGAAAGCTGGATGTTCATGTTTGTCTGCCCAAATTTAAACTGGAAGGTGACTGTGAGCTGAAATCGCCGCTGTCCAGTTTAGGCATGGAGGATGTTTTCGACAGTGCGAGGACCAATCTAACTGGAATGTCTGCAACCCACGACTTATATGTTTCCAAAGTTGTGCACAAGTCTTTTGTGGAGGTGAATGAGGAGGGAACTGAAGCAGCAGGAGCTACAGCAGTGATGATTCAATTCTGTATGGTGATGGATGAAGGGTTTTTCACTGCTGATCATCCCTTCCTCTTTGTCATCAGGACTGAAGAAGGGTACTATGTGAAACGTTGACTGCTCCTTTCCCCTAGATGCTGCCTGGCTTGCTGTGTTCTTCCAGCCTCCTGTTTGCCTACCTTGGATTCCAGCATCTGCAGTTTTGTTTTGTCCCTCACAACAAAACAAAGAGCATTCTATTCTTTGAGATAGTAGGAACTGCCGATGCTGCAGTCTAAGATAACAAGGTGTAGAGCTGGATGGACACAGCAGGCCAGGCAGCATCAGAGGAGCAGGAAAGCTGACATTTCGGGCCTGGAC